GTAGTGAGGGGCCCAAAACTGAACGCAGTACTCGAGATGTGGCCTCACCAGTGCCGAGTACAGGGGCACTATCACCTCCCTGGGCCTGCTGGCCACACTATTCCTGATACAAGCCAGGATGCCATTGGCCCTCTTGGCCACCTGGGCACACTGCTGGCTCATGTTCAGGAGGCTGTCAACCAACACCCCCAGGTCCTTTTCTGCCAGGCAGCTCTCCAGCCACTCCTCCCCCAGCCTGTAGCGTTGCATGGGGTTGTTGTGACCCAAGTGCACGACCCAGTAGGGCCCAGTGACACGTAACTCCAGCCTTCCTTGGCTTTCAGGTGACACTCAGTCTAAAAGCAGGTCTGTACTTTTGCCCCCAGCCAGAGGGATAGCCAAGGCCACTGGTCAGCACACAGTCTCTCACACTCAACAGCAGCATTTTGCTCCACACTGTCTCTACGAACAGTGGAGCCCTGAGGAATTTTAGGTTAAACAGGGCAGAACATGTGGCAACTTGATGCCACGTTCCACAGCCTCTGGGTCAGGTTTAGTGCATCCTTCCGCGGCTTTAGCAGAACATGAAAATGCTAGACACAGGGTACGAAGAGTACACAGGAGGCAAGCAGAAAAGAGACTTTTCTATCACTCCAGGCAGGTCTGCCCTTTAAGTACTGACACAGCCAGAAACTGTTGATATCTGCCAGCATTTCTAGTAGCGTATAATATGCTCACATTACTTCTTCCTCTCATAAGCTTTCTACTAATGTTTGCACCTGCTCTTCCTCGTCTCCTGCTCCTTTTTGTCCTAATAAGGTCCTAGTCCTCTTCCCTGGAGCATCACTCAACACCCCTGCCCCCTTACAATTCATTAAAAGTTACCATTACCCTAGTGTCCTGCTATCCCCTCTAAACCCCACATAGCGATTTGTTCCCAAAGACTTTTAGGAGCGAAGAACGCATTCCTTCGTAGTTCACACAATGGAAAACACAACCATTTCAGAGCAACAGAAAAAGCGTGCAACCTGCAGTGTCTTCCTTCATCCAGCACTGTGGACCTCAAGCTTTTCAAAGCCACCCTTCCTCTTTTTTTAGAAGTTTCATTTCTGCTTCTCATTTTCCCAGTTTCTACCCGACAAAAGCACTATTCACTCTCTAACTTATCTCAAGGCCCCAGAGCTCAAACATCAGGGTTTTTTTCTGCAGTATGAAACAGCTTGTACTACCGACTTTCTTCTCCCAACACATAGATTTTAATTTTCAGCAAAACTGAACCCCAAACTCCACCTGTGTTGGCTTAAAGGATATACTACACTCATCTTGGAGCTGAAGAGGATGGACAACTTTTGGGTGGGATAGTCAGAGACCAGCAGATCCAAACACAACAGCAGGGGAACAGTTTTTTCTGTGGCTCCTACCTCTTGTCCTCCAGTTACAGGATATATTTTGACAATCCCCAGAGAGAAAGTCACTGCTCTAGTAGAGGAAGGAAAAAAATGAGCAAGACAACAATCTGATTCTCAAAGCTGTTACATCATCCAAATAGCAAACATAGTTTATTTCTACAACAGCTGGAATCCCATATTTGACAAAGTTGCAGACAAATGGAGCTTTCAGAACCAGGTCGACACTGAAGGAAACTTAAAACACTTTTTCTGGCAGAGCTACAGTAGTGCGGTGCCAAAGTCCCTGCCAGACAGAGCTGTCATTCAAAGACCCCCAGTAGAGCTGGCGATACCAGCAAAACCTGTGCTTTCCTTGGTAGACATGTTTCACGAGGAGGATGTGGGGGAAGCGAGGAAGCTTTGGCAGCAGAGATGTCAGTTTTTCAGCCTGAAAGCACCCCGCTCTAAGAGCACCTGGTGGGTCTATGGGTCCAGCACTGTCATAACAGCAAAAGCTGCAGGCATACCTTAGACCTGTAGATAGGCACAAAAACCAAAAGGAAACTTGTAATTTACTTCTCTCGATCCAGCATAAATAAGTGTATTTGCAGCAAAACATATTCTTTGGACGATCACAGAGCATAGTTCAGAAATTCTTTGGTTGTCAGACTGCATGAAATTCCCCCTAATTTTTTTTAACCCCCACATGGTGACAAGTGACAGAGTGATGTGGGAGGCTGAAAAAAAGATGCTAGTGTAGTGCCAGGAGAGGGGGCACGATTCCAGCAGAGAGGGGAAACAGCGTTTTCTTCAGAGCAAGCTCAGGCTCCAGCCCCAGTCCTCAGCAGGTGTTTCTCCCCTCTGCCACCGCAGCGCTGAGGTCTCAGCTGCATTCACGCTGGGTGCAGCAGAACATTCGTTTCCCACAGGATTGCCAAGAGGTGTTGGAAGCTTGTAGGAAGGTGCCTACTATCTATCTGAGGTGGCATCTCAGGAGGTGAAATAGAGCACTTCTCTTTCCTCTGGGGGAACAGAAGAGGTTGTATCCTTAAATATCTACCATGTCAGTCCAAATTAAAGTCAGAGTGCTGGCTTCCAAAAACTGTAGTTAAGTCAGTCTTGGCAGGAGAACTGGTGATCAAGCACCCCTGCTGCAAAAAAATACATGTGTGTGTGTGTGTGTGCATACCTTCTTCTGCAGGTATTTTCACTCAAAGTGCCCAGAATGAAGCCTCTTGTCATGTATGTCCTTTGGACCGGTCCTGTGCTGGCAGGGCAAGGAAGCCTGAACCATCACTGACTCTGCTGACAGTGGATTTCTAGCTGAGAAGGATGTCTATTCTTTTAAGCCAGAGAGCCTTTGAGGTATGCTCAATTCAGGTTGTTAAAAAGGAAAAAGTGACCCATTTCTGACCAAACACAAAATACGTCATCTGAAGGTACAGGGCAGAAAAGCAGGCCAAAGTTGGACATTGTAAAGAACTAAAAAATAGTCAGTATGAAATTAATAACATTATAACTGCCTGTTATACAGTTTTATTTGAATAATCCTCTACATTAATGTCAAAGCAGTTTATCTTGGAGTGAATATATGTATCTTCATCCACAAACAGCAGACTTTTGCACTTTCAAATTGTTTCCTGCTCTATGTTACTGTAAAGGGCATATATGAAAAGGAACAGCACAGAAACTGTGCACAGTGAGGAGGGGCATTGCTACCTTTCCAGGTTATCTGCTCAGTTATTTTCATTTACTTACTCAAAATTTTTGACACTTCAGCAGTTGGCCAATTCCTTTTGTCAAAGAGTGAAGAAAAAAAAAGTCGAAGTAAAGATACATATATTAGGATGAAAGAAAAAAAGAAGGTGGCAACAAATGACAATGTATGATGACCTGCTATGAGGCACAAAAATAATTTTCTGAGAGGACCATTAAATTACTTAGCAGTATTGACGCAGAATTTCAGAAAAATAGAAAAATCCATATCAGGCCAGAAAATGCTTTTTTCCTCCAGATTGGACCTGGTAAACTGTATAAATCCTACTTTTTGCAGAAACCCATTACACCATCATGCAGTTGCCCTGACAGAAGAGACCAACTTATAAGTACAAGTTCTACTTCACAGCTAGATATGAAAGGGGAAGCACCAAGGAGGAGGGGCCTGTGCTTCCCTTTTTCCCCGCAAAGAATATCCAGCTTACCAGAGATGGACTGCAAAAGGAGAGAAAGACAAAGGTGCCAAGAAGACACTGCCTCAGCCTCGAAATTACAGAGAACTTCATGACAATACCACGTTGGACAAAACTGCACTGTTCTGCCTGTCCAGGCTCTGGGCAGAGTCTCCGAAAGCATGAATCCCAGCAGAGGCAGAGGAAGGGACAAACCACATGTAAGAGAGAGAAAGAAGCACATTGCTCCATTCACAATGGGCTTTCCATAAACACTGTTAGACCCCAAAGAGAATAATTTATAGGAAATGCACAGAATTTTCTACCGAACAGGTCTTACAAATACCCATTTTACAAATGAGTATTTGTGAAAAGGAAAAAAAAAAAAAGGTCCCACAAAACATTAAACACATATTCTTGGGTATGTATTTTCCTGTATTTGGCAGAGGGAAGTTTTTAGGAATAATCTTTGATTGTTAATAACCTGTAAAAATTCATGGAGAAAAACCCCTGATTTCATCATGTATGGTTGGGGCTAGGAGGGACTGCTTGCAGTGATGTATTCAAGTTGCAGTTCATAATTTTTGTTGCTGGTTGAGCTGATGTTAGAAAAGTCCACAGTTCTGATAGAAAGAGGTAACAAAGACTAGGGTCAGCTTATCCAGGCACAAATCAGTTTGTAACAGTTCCTTCATTAAACAAATCATCCTTGGAAGTTAAGAATCAGGTCGGAATTTGCAGGATTTCCCTTCTGTAAACAGATGGAGGAAATCAGAAGCAATTTTTCCATCCATCTGAAAGAAGAACCAAATGACTTTCCAAATGAGTTTTAAATGTACTTATTGCAAATAGCTGGAAATGACCACAGCCCAGCTTGTGAGACAGAAGTTGTTTTTCTCTGTAAAACTCATAAAAAGCAGGTTCTCCATTATAAACTTCTTGGGGGGGAAGTGAGGGGAGCAAAAAAACTTTGGTTCACAACATTGTTTTGCATAGGCATTCAAGTAGATCTTCAAAAGCTACCGGCTGTCCAGGCTGTCTCCTCAGTAGTGGACACTCCTCTTTGGTATCCTATTTTGTAAGGCAGACGTCTTGCAGGGATGAAGGAATCATACAGATGCATCTTTGAAAAGGAAGACAGTGTCAACTGTGTTGCTATGAACAAATTCATCTACTTTACTAAGGAACACACAGGAAACCTTCTTTTGGTAGGGGATGGGGGAGAGTGAAGAGAAAGCACTGATACATTTACTACTTGCTAGAAGCAAGTTATTTTGCTCTTGTAGTTAGTTGTTAACAGCTGTCAGTAGCTGTGATACATCCGTGTTGACAGAAAATACGGAATTATTGCTTTGTGAGTAATTTTGGGTAACAAGGAACAGGACATTAATAAATCCTTCCAGGTAGACACAGCCCTGTGGCAGAAAATACAAATATTCATTTTAGGCAAGCATTCTGGCAGTTATTAAGCATGATACTTACTTGTTGACTGCGTGATGCACGAAACCTTGTAGGATGACCATATGCTTAAAACACAAAGGATCGTAGCTAGGAACCCGAAAGTCTGGATGAGAAAACAAACAAACCACAAATACTTACAGAACATTAAATGACACATATTCCATGAATGCACAGACACTCTTGTATATCCAGCTACATATTTTATGATGTTAATAGACCCAAAAAAGTGATTTCTTACTCCATTCTGCCAACATACTAAAAAAATAAAAGTTTCCATAGTGTAATAGCAGCTCATGTCTTGTCAAAACAATGACTGAAAGACAGACTGAGAGTCATATACAAGGGGGGAGAAAACACTAGACAGCAGCATAGAGTCTCACCTTCTAGACTTCTCACTAGGATTCTGCAACAAAGAAAAGACTTTTTCTAACACCTCTGATTACTGTTCATTTACTGTCCTATTCAAACAAGTCTTTCCCTGCCATCTGCCAAATAAACAAGTCAGGTAAGCTTTCTAGTCTGTTTGCATCATCAGGACTAAGTTTCTGAAAGCAATTCTTTATTCTGGAGGAGTTGTATTTCAGGTTCTGCTGCTGTGAAAATATTGTTGCCTAGACTCAGAAGTCATGCCTCTGTCTATAAAGCCCTCCAGCCAACAGTGGCAGAAAGTATCTTCCAATAAGTGAGCCCAGGACCCCAGTGGGTTTTAGCTCAGGAGAAATTATCCTGAACAGGGCTCTGTTCAGGAGCAGGTGGCGTCAAAAGCCGAAGACTGGGGTGAAATCCTTCCAGTAACTTCTAGCTGCTGTAACAGCCATTTGTCAAAACTGAATTGTCTTAATTCTTCCCCTAAACACATCAGTTCCTATGAGTTAAAGCAGGAACCTTTGGTTTCGACTCTCTGACAGGACAAATACCCACTTTAGCGCTCAGTCTGGAGTCTCACAACAAAATATTTTTGTTGGCATTGTGTTACAGAACATTCACTGAAATGAGCTAGAAGGTAGTTCACCCAACCAAGACACAAGCAAGGCAAGTCTGTAAGAAAATAAAATGACAAGTAATAGATTTCCAATGCCCTACTTAATATATATTGCAATTTAAAAAATGTCAAGACTAATAAACACAGTCTTACCGCTCCAGCCACAAGTCCAGTCAAATTGTAACTCTTGGATGCTGCTACAATCGATGCAATGAGAAGCAGAATTGTACCGATTAAATAATGAAGAAACTCCTGTGAAGACAAGCACAGCCTGCATCAGAAGGGAAACTTATCAGGAAAGCATTTCAATATGCCTCAGAATGAAAACAAGTTGACAGAGGTTACTCAAACCACCAGTCAAAAAAAAAAAAGCGGGGGGGGGGGGGGGGGGGGGGGAGGAAGGGAAAAAAACACCTTGTGACCTTACTTTCCTCATTTGTAACCCTGTTTCGGGTAATCAAGATCTCAACCCTTCCTTTTGCTAGAATAAGTTATTTCCATAAGGAGGCTTCTCTGGCCAGTCCATAATGCAGCAGGCAAATTAGGTACGCCATTGCCTCTTTAGAGACACCAAATAAAGCAGTGTACACAGACCACTGCTTTAGAGGAATCCAAGGGACGGGCAAAGGTGCGAAAGAATCATCAAAGGCTAAATTAGGTGGAGAACCAGCCCTTGGCAGAGTGCCTCTCTGGAAAAATACTTCCCAGCTTTAAAAGGTGTCAGTGCTGAACAACCTCTTGAACCACTGCAACTTTACTGACTGCAAATCACACCCCTGATTGCAATGTAGAGATCCTGCCAGGAAACTCAGCCAAACACTAGCTGTAGTTTCCCAAAGTCTCTTACAGGTCTTCCTATTCTGTTCTAAAGATACTAAAGTATGTGACTGAAAAGGAGGTTGGTTGGAAAAGAGCAGCAATGTTCAAGCATCACATCCCATAAAGCTATTTGAAGCTGAGCAGCCACAAACTGCAGTGCCATAAACTCACTAGTGACTCTGGAACATTTAGGAATGATTAAACACATGACGAAAAACAAAAGCAGCTTATGCAGAAGTCAAAATGGCACAGTCCTGTTACAGCAATGCACACATTAAATTCTGCTTTGCAAAACTGTCATTTATTAGCTTATTTCAATCCCTGCATCTGTATTATCTCTAGATAAAGAAGTACTTTCTAGAGACAGATAGTGGTGGTACACATTTGAAACAATAAAAAGGGGTGCAAGTCTAACCATATTCTTCAGCTAAAAAGAAAAAGAAAATTAAATTTTTCTCTCTGGTTAGAAGTGGATGGATGGACAAACCATTACCTTAGATCTGTAAACTACTTACATAGCTTCCATTAAACACCATCCAACCACTTCTTGGATTTCAAAATCCCTCTATATCTCTCCACTTGGCTTTCCCCATCCCTCTGGTCCTTCCTCTGTGGAGCTAACATGTCACTATCCGTAAGGGAGACATGTTTTAAGAGGTTATTAAAATCCGTCATCCCACACTAGGATGCAGGACTCTTCTGTTAGCTGACCTGAGCCAAAGCTACTGAGGAAGTTCAGGTCTTGCATTTTCTGTGCTGCTTGTTAGTTCTCTGCTAGGATATGAGAGATGGATGTGCAGGGGAAACATGGGAATGAGGCAGGAACATCCTGCAGGATATTCCAGGAATGGCCAGGCTATGGCAATCAGGCTAAGGCTCCTATTTCTTGCTAGTGTTTAAATTACCTAAAACAACACCAGAGAGAGACACATTTGACTTAAATAGCGCTAGCAGACTTTATTTTGGGACAGGATGTAGTACATGAATTCTAATGCTGTTATTTGGTAATTTAGCAATCCCTTAGCTGCTATAAGTGACCTGAGCTAGGAGACATCTGCTGAAGGCTTGATAATCAGTAGGTTCTTTTCAATTGTCTCAGAATAACACTATTGCCTTCCCTGGAGTAAATCTGGATTTCTATCTGTGTAAAGGAGGGCAGGATCAGATTCAAATCAGCTAAAAAACTTACAATTACAGCATCTGCTGAACTGAATACTAATACAAAAGCAACAAAAGGATTTGTATACAAGGCAAAAAAGCAGTATGTGAAAGACAGCCTATCATTGTGTGATAGCACAAGAAAATGGACTAAGTAATCGAGACATCAACCCACAAGAGAGGGAAGGAACCCAGACTTACTGCAAGTGGCCAGCTAACACAAGTGAGCTTCCTGTAGATTCTGAAAATGTGGATAATGTAGAAGAACAAAATCATAACCAAGTCGCAGATGGCGACAATCTGAAAGTAGCTGTATGCACTGTAATCTGTCCACGGAGAATTATTTACACTGATGAATCCAACCAGCAGTGAGATCTGAAAGATAAAAGGCACATTGAAGATTTTTACAATGGTGCTCAGAGGGCCACGGAGATTATTTTCAACACGACAAAACGGCACTTCTAAACAGAAGACAAACATCTAATGTAAATTGGATGGTCCCAACAAAATGGAGGACAAAGTAACAAGCGTGGTAATACTATTTTAAAATTTGCTGCTACATGAGCTAAAAGAACCATTAA